GGAGGAGGAGGAGGAGGAGGAGGAGGAGGAGGGGGAGGAGGACGAGGAGGGGGAGGAGGGGGAGGAGGAGGAGGAGGAGGAGGAGGATTTCTTTCTTCAGCCAGTGCCTTCCCACGCCCAGTGTCAGTGGCACAAGCATCGACAATGTACAAACGAGGCGTGAGGTCAGCAACGTCGTGCACAGCTGCGACTTTAAGCGGCCCTTCTGTGCATGGGCTACGTGCGACATCCCTTAACGACGGAAAGGCTCGCTGAGCCAAAATGGGCTACAGACGATGGGGGCATTGGACAGGGAGCCCTTCGATAAGGAATCCAGGGTTTCGAGGCCGGTGGTGCTCCAATCGTGGATCGGCCGTTGATGCCACCGCCGCCCTCGTCAGATTAAGGAATTCTCCAGGGTCTGCAGCCTCCTGGGCACCTTCCTTAACGAAGGCCCCCCTCGTATCGGGGTCTCCCCTTGGTCTCGCGCGACTTCGGGTACAACATCCACCATCTACACTCAGTTGACCCTTCTTCGACCTCTACGACCGGGCGTTCCATTTTGTGCAACAGCTAACACGGATGGAGGGCGGCTCCTCTTTTGAAGCGGGGCTCTCGCGTGAGACCTCCGCGAAGCAAGCGTCCACGACCTTGACATCCTGCGACGCTGAGACGGATGGATGGCATACCGATTTCAAAATGGGGCTATCCCTGGGCCTCGTTGAGGGGCTCTGGCGTGGGACTTCCGCGGAGCATGCGTCCACTGCTTTGACATCCTGCAGCGCTTCGGCGGATGGAGGGCATGTGCTTCTCAAAGTGGGTCTACCCTGGGGATTCTTCAAAAGCAGGGAGGATCCTCTACACCAAGCGCCCTCGTCTGATTGGCGGACCGTCCGGTCGCTCGTCATCCAAGGGGGGGGGCGCCCGCCGTGGCAAGGAAGACCTGTGTGGACTTCTGAGGAAGGGACCTGGGACGGGAGGGTGTGCTGCAACATCGGTTGATGCATCGTGGGCTTACTCGGGTCCTCCTCCTCCTCGTCCTCCTCCTCCTCCTCCTCCTCTTCCCCCTCCTCCTCTTCCTCCTCCTCCTCCTCTCCCTCCTCCTCCTCCTCCTCCTCCTCCTCGTCCTCCTCCTCCGCCTGGGGCCTCCCGGAAAACGCCCTTGACGAGGGGCGGCACGGGAAGTCCGGGGATGTCCGCGGCGTCGAGCATCTTGACGTCGTCGACCGTCGTGATGCTCACCTGTGGCGAGGACGGCTCCACTCCTCGCCTCCTTCCTGCCTCTCGGTTTCTGGACGCCGTCACCCGCTTCCGTCGGCTGCTCGAGGTTTTCTGGTCTCGGGATGCTTTCCGGCAGCCGCGCCGCGCCGGGCGCGTTGCCAGGGTGCCCGAGTCGTGCCGAATGGGCGCCGGAGGCTCGAGCTGTGGCCCGAAGACCCAGCTCCTCTGCTGCCCTTCCCCCTGCTTCTCGCTCGTTTCCCCCCCCTACCCCATCCTCCTTCTCTTCCTCTTCCCGTCCTCTTCCTCTTCCTGTGCTCGGGTTTGAGGGGGGAAGGGGGAGGAGGATGCACGGGCAGGGGAGAGGGACGAGAACCTGCAGGGTTGAGCATGGAGGATGAGGGTAGTGGCAATAGTCGTCATAATCTTGGTATTGGTCGTAATCCTACTACTCGCAGTATGCGTTCAATTTTTATCAAGTTGTAACGATCCGCCACCGTGTCCGCTGGCACGTTGAGGCGTGCTGGAGTGCCAAGTGCTGTCTGGTAGGATTTCTGTAATTCGCGGAGGGATCCCCCCCCTCTCCCCGTCGCACCTCGTCGCGCGCACCAGCGATACTCCCGGGGGGTCCCTGTGCGGCCATGGCGCCTCCCTGGGGCTCTCCGAGGCTTCCGCCCCAAGGGCCCCCCAGGAGGCCCCAAGAGGCCCCCCCAGGAGGCCCCCAAGAGGCCCCCAAGGGGCCCCCAAGGGGCCCCCAAGAGGCCCCCAAGAGGCCCCAAGAGGCCCCCAAGAGGCCCCCAAGAGGCCCCCAACACGGTCCCCAAGAGGCTTCAAAACTGTCTCCCAGAGGCCCCCGAGAGACCTCTCACGAGATTCCAATGGACATCCACTAGGCAAGTAACCCACAACCCAAGCACGGTGGCGTGACTTGCCGTAGACAGCTGGAGACCAAGTCGTAATCGTAATGAAGAGGAGGACGAGGAATAACAGGAAGAAAGGGTGGAGTGGGGTGGGGGTGGGGGGCAGGATGATGATTATGCTGCTGATGATGATGGTGATGGCAATGATGATGATGATGACGATGATGACGATGATGATGAATCTGATGATGATGATGCTGCTGATGATGATGGTGGTGATGATGATGATGGTGCTGATGATGGCGATGATGCTGATGCTGCTGCTGATGATGATGGTGGTGATGATGACTATGATGATGCTGATGCTGCTGCTGATGATGGTGATGGTGATGATGATGGTGGTGGTGATGATGATGATGATCATGAAGATGGCTGTGATGATGGCCAGAGTGAACCCGAGATGCATCAACGATGCTACAAGAACCCTCCCGTCCCAAGACAGCGCCTCACACGTCTCCACAAGCCTTCTTCCTCACTGCAAGAAGTGCCCCCCTTTTGGAAATACCAGCACCGTTGGCGCTTGCCGCTGTCGCAGGGGCCCCGTTTTGAGAAGGAACTGCCTAGCTCAGGCGAGCGATCAACAGTTCGAGCAATTCTGATCATACAACTCAACGAAGCGTCCATCGATATAAACTTTTCGAAAGAAGACCGTTCCCCATCCGTGTGATTGCTGCCAAAATTCACACACGTGTGGCCATGGACTTCGAGGGAACCTCAAGCCAGAACTCCACTTGCCGCTCTCGATCCGTGCAGTGCTACACGTATTGGAGCTTCAGGTCTCTGAAGTTAAGGAGGCCCCAAACAATAGCCCCATTTTGAAATAGAACCGCCTCCTCCTCCTCCTCTTCCCCCTCCTCCTCTTCCTCCTCCTCCTCCTCCTATTCCCCCTCCTCCTCCTCCTCCTCCTCCTCCTCTCCCTCCTCCTCCTCCTCCTCCTCCTCCCCCTCCTCCTCCTCCTCTTCCTCCTCCTCCTCCTCCCCCTCCTCCTCCTCCTCCTCCTCCTCCTCCTCCTCCTCCTCTGAAAGCCTCTGAACCCGTGTCCCGCAATGCAAGACACCACCGAAAGCGGATCAGAAGAAGACCACGACGGGCGCAACGACGGGGTCCACGAAGTGCAACTCCATGCCAGACACGAACACCACGGCCGAGGAGACGACGGACACGGCACGGCTGGCACGATGTACACAAACCGTCACTACTGCTTGCAGGACGTATCATTGTTTGTCTCCTCCGTCGCGGGCCCTCCTTGACGCTCCAGCCTGGCCAGCTTCCGCTTGAACGGCTGGGGATGAAGTCTGCTCAACTTCCTCGTCCTCTTGGCGTTGAGGGCCCCGACGGTCTGGGCATGCATCTGCTGGACAATCGCCACCTCCGCTTCCGTGACGTTGACGCCCGCTTCAGCAGCCCCACCCTCAGCATACTTCGAGTCGGGGGGGTGGACCCCGAACTCGGGTCTCTCGAGCGGCGTCGCCAACCCACCGTCGCCCTGCCCGATGGCGGCCACGGCGGCTTCGATGGCGCCGATCTGCTGCTCCTCGGGCTCCTGCGCGCCGCCGTCCACGTCTGCTTCGGGCACCGCCGCCGCAGCGTCGCAGTACACGGGGATGAGCGTCGCGCCGCACGTGCACATTCGCCAACTGATGTCCCAATCGGCCTCCTGCACGAACCCGAGGTCGCCCTGTGGGACGAAGACAGGCGCGTCGACATTCTCGGGAAACGCCTTCCGAGCATGAGTGCCATCGCCGCCATCGCCCAGCGGCTCGTGCCAGGCCTTGTCGCCTGCCGCCTTGACGGCCTTCGCCTCTGTGATAAGTGCGGTGGGGAGCTTCACGATGGTCGCGAGCTTCCGAAGTGCGTCGCCGAGACGATGACGATGGTGCCCGAGCTCTGCATCGAACCGCCAGTGAAGCAGGAGGGCCTGCCCCAGAGCAGCCAGCCGCTCCCGCAGCTCGCTCACGATGTCGCCGTCCAAGCCGCCTCCGTTGTCCTCGAAGGCGTTGGCCACCGCACAGCTGACCGTCAGGGTGTCGGCGGAGCGCGCACGCTCCCGACGCAGGCGGCGAGCAAGGTTGCTGGCGGACTGCCTAGCCCAGGCCTTGCCTCGGCGCTCACCACCAGACACATGCTCGGGCCCACGGCCCCGCAGGTCTCCCGCAGCAATTCCCGGCGGACCACCTCCAGCAACTTCAACTCCGGACGCACATGACGAGCCGGCTTGAGCCCCGGGGCGCCCCGCGCGAGCGGCTTGAGCCAAATGGCTACTGATCTCCTCCTCCTCCTCCTCCTCCTCCTCCTCCTCCTCCTCCTCCCCGTCTCTCGAATCGTTGCAAGCATGTGGAACGATTGTGCCCGGCAGTCGGGCGGTAGGCCCATTCTGAAAACGACCGGTGCTCCATCCTTGTCACTCGTGCGTGCTTGTTCGGCGGATGCGCTGTTGTCGGCTCTGCTTGCAATGCCGTGCTGCTGTGGGTGTTTCTTTGTGCGGTGGGCTTTCCAGCCCCCAATTGTATTGAAGGCGTGGCCGCATCCGCAGCAGAAGCATGCGGTTTGCTGTGGAGGTGCTGGTGCTGACCTGTCGTGGTCGTCTTCCAGCTTCTGTCTGTGCCGTTGCCATTCTGCCGTGCCCTGCTGGTCCACGTTGCTTGTTAGTGCTGAGCTTGGCTTTATCGACTTGGCGTGGGTATTGCTTGGGCGCGTCGCGTGCGTATTCAAGCCATCGCGCTGTGGGCCACTGTTGTTGAGGGTCGTCCTGCTGTGTCGTGGTGATGGCCAGCCATCGGAGGTCAAGAGTTACCACTCGGACCCAGTAGGAGTGGAGTCCGTAGTGGTGGTAATGTTCTGCTGAACGCTGTTCGTCGGCAAGGTCTACGAGTCGTAATAGTACGTGCGGTGCCTTACTGATTGGAGTCCAAATTTCCGCCTGGAAAACAATAGCAGTTGGGAAACGTGTCTGCTAGCTGAACCTTAGTGCTGTACCTCAGCTTGTTCTTTTTTGTAGCTCATAGCTTTAAGTGGTGCCAATGCTGCTCGTTGCTTGGTAACTTGGTGTGCTGCTCGTGCAGCTGCTGAGCACAGTGGAATGAAGTGTGTGCCGAGGTAGTCGTGCATGCGTGTGATGGGTATCTGTTGATCCCAGATAGGACAGTATATCCTCGGCGTGGTCCTTGCATGAAATCGCTGCTTTGCATGATCTTCTAATTTGTTTCCAGTGAGGTGAAGACTACAGGCTGACTGCGAGGCTTATTTTTGAGCTTAAATCCGTAGCTCGTGAATCTTGTGCGTGTGTGCTGGCCGCCAGCTCGGGCAGGTCGTTGTCTCCGCGTTGCGCTCGTATCAGCGTGTCGTCGACGAAAGCGATGTGTATAGCGTTCGCCTCCTCAGTTGTGCTGGTGCGCTGATCTGCTGAGAACTGTGGCTGTGTAGGCGTGAGTCGTTATACGGTGTATGGCTGTCCTGTCATATGGGCTACGAGGTTGTTGGGTGGTCTCGCGACTGAGAGGTTGTAGATGGCGCCTGCTAGGCTGTTGCCTGGTTTTGTGCCTCTCATGGGGTGGGCTGGAAGGCTGGGGTGTTTACAAATGAAGTGTGCGGCCAAGCATGGTTCAATTATTCGCGCCAGGAGGCGCTAGTCGCAATCGCGTGTGCTTAGCGAGCCCAGCGGATTGAGCTTGACTTCCGCCAATGGTGCCTTGGTGTCGTCTGGTTCAAATGGTCCTTGCTTGCCAAACACCGTTTCGCGTGCTACCGTGTGGAAAACCGCCGTGAGGTCGATGTAATATCGTATGGCTGTGCCTTCGTCCTTGCTGGTGTAGTCAGTGGTTAGAGTAGCTGTGTGTGTGTGTGTTGCGAATGCCGTGGGTCGTCCGGGTAGACACCGCATTGCGTAGGTCGCAATGCTGTCGCTAGTCGTTTGTTAATTTTCCGTCGTAGGAGTGTGTACTGTAATTTGGAGATCGTCGAGGCCAGGCGGATGGATCTGCATTGAATAGCTCTGCTGGTAATACCCTGATTTTATGTAACGGTATTGCGGTGCCGTGTTTCCAGAGCAAGAGTTCTTGCTGTCAGTGATGCCAAGAGGAGTAGTGGGTGTGCGTGTCTAGCTGTGTTTTCTGGTGCTGCCTTGAAGAGGTCAGTGGCAATTCTGTCGAAGCCTGGCTGATTTCCACTTTTGACCTTCTCGATGTGGATGGTCGCACGAGGCTGTGTGATGACGAACTCGGGAGTAGGTGATGTGATCGGATTCGTCAGGTGCTGCTGTAGTGCACCTTGGTGTTGTCGTTGTTGGTGATGCTTGCCTCTTCTTGTTGTGCAATATGTCTGGTGAACTCGTCGCCTTGCTGCTGGTCGCTTCCCGGCGCCTTCCCTGTCGCGTCTGTCAAGCAGGGCATTGCTTGAGACGTGGCACCTCGTCTTCTCGCAGCTGGTCCATATCGGATTGCTGCTTTGGTGTGTTGCCATGCCGCTCTATGGTCGTGGAGGTCATGTAGGTCTTGGAAAGAGTCGGCGAGTGCTGTTAGGTGCTTGGCTCTGTCTTGCTTGAGCTGATGTGCTAATGGCGTGCAAATTCTTGCGAGAAGCAGTCGCGCCGCCTGAAGATCGCATCTAATGTCTCCCGCTTGACGACGGCGGCCAATCTCCCCTCTGACGACGACGGCGGCGACGCTGACGCCGACGACGGTGAAGGCGACGAAGACGACGTCGACGACGGCGACGCCCACGACGCCGATGACGACGAGCCGCGGGCGGGCCGCCGCCGCCGGCCGCCTCTGGGGCGGCGAGGGCGGCAATCCACCCCGGCACCAGGCCCTTCTTGTCCTCTCGGCCGTCGCGCGCGAGCAGTGGGGGCCCCGGGGGGGAGGAGCCCTGCGATCCTGGCGTCGCCGCTTTTCCACACCAGGCGAGTTTGCACTGTTTCGGGCCCTGGCCCTGGGACCATCACGGATCGATCTGGCCAGAGAGATGCCGCAAGACGACTGGGTCTGTGGCTCGGGCCTTTTGTATGAGGCTGTTTTTTTCGGTGCGTGAGGGCCCTGGGGGCGCGGATGCAACTTCTGGGAGGGCTTCGCACGAAAGTGGAGAACGCTGTTCAGGTCGAGCCCTGAGGGGCGAAGGGCTGTTTGAGCTCTGCTGGCCGCGAACTGAGCGACTCATCACCAGAACTGCTCTCGCGAAGCGGCTGGGCGGGTGGAAAAAGCGACACGCGCAATGATGCATCCAAGTCTCACGCGTGTTACGCCGAAGGGTGGACCACATTTGGCGGTGCGAGCTAGAGAAGCGCTGGAGGAATGCACGTGCAGACTCGGGCCCATGGGGGACTCCAGATGCATTTGGGGGCCCATGAGGACTTCCAGGGCTTCTGGGGAAGAGAAGAAGATGGGAGGAGGGGAGCGAGGATGAGAGGGAGAAGGCGATGATGAGGGGGAGCGGGAGAAGGAGGGAGAGGAGCTAGTGGGAGGAGAGGCATGATGATGGTGAGGAGGAGGAGGAGGAGGAGGAGGAGGAGGAGGAGGAGGAGGAGGAGGAGGAGGAGGAGGAGGAGGAGGAGGAGGAGGAAGAGGAGGAGGAGGAGGAGGAGGAGGAGGAGGAGGAGGAGGAGGAGGAGGAGGAGGAGCTCTTCCAGGGCTCTTCCTTGATCGACGTCGTCGGTTTGGGGGCCGCCCCGCCGCCCGCCGCGCGCGTGCCCCTCCCCCTGGTGTGCCCCCATTCTCGAGGGGCTCCCGCTCAGGGTATGGGGCGGGCGCGGCGGCGGTGGCGGCCTCTCGGCGCCGCAGCCCGCGGCTGGGCGCGCCTGCAGGGCGCTGCCGTCTCCTCCTTACCTCCGCCTCGCGAGGCGGCACCAGTCCTCCTCGCAGCTTCCGCAATTCTCGCAGGGCGCTGCAGTCTCCTCCCTGGCTCCGCCCCTCGAGGTGGTGCTGGTCCTCCTCGCAGCTTCTGCGCTTCTCACATTTCTCACACGCGCCTTATCTGGGCGCGTCTCTTGCCCTGCGTGCTCCTCAAGGCCATCTTCGCGAAGTCTGGCCTGAATGGCCACGTGGGCCTACCGTTCGAGCCCAGCAGGGTGAAGGGGCTGAACTTCCTGCTGGGCGTGATCACGTACTTTCTGGTATCCGGTCTCGATCTTCTGCCGGTCCTCCCCTGGGAGGGGCCCCCACACTCCATGGATGTCGTGCGCCTCCCATTGGCTACCTTTCTCCACGTAGTAGCTGTCGACGTCGGGCTTCGGCATCGCCTCATCCTCCTGCTCGCGCTGGCACCTGCTCGGGCCCAACCACTTGCGGGAGGTCTCGGCTCGCGCTCGCCACATCGCCGTGCTGGTGCATGCCCTACTTGCCGCGCAGTAGCTGCTCGTATCAGGCTCTGTCTTCGCCTCGCACTTCTCGCACGCTCTGTCTCCTGGGTCCCCGCTGGTGCCACCGCCGCTGATTTCTGCGCTGTGGCTGGTCACGTTGGGCTCCGTCTTCACCTCCGTAACCGAGCCGCTTTCCGATTTCGCAGATCCAGCCGTGGCGACGAGGGGACCCGAGGAGGAAACGCTATTGATATTGGGCTCCAGCTTGGCCTCCACCACTGTTGCCCTGATCGCAGCACTGAAGTTGGTCACGTTCGGCTCCGTCTTTCCCTTCTGGCTCTGGCTGGTAGCGTGGCTAGAGTAGTTGGGCTCCAGCTTTGCCTCCTGCCCGCTCTTCTTACACGAGCTCCACGCACGGCGCTGCCACTGCCCGTCAGGTTCGTCGTGACCCCAGCGCTGTAGCTGATGCCGTTGGGCTCGTCCGTCGCCTTCATCTCGCTTGCGTTCACGGTGGCTGCTGGTCGCCTCCGCGTCGTAGCTGACGACGTTGGGCTCGTCCTTCGCCTTCCCACTGGTGGACGTCGCCGTACGATATGTCGTCGGGCTCGTTTTTCGCCTCATCGCTGTAGCTGTTGACGTCTGGCTCCCCGTGGGGCTGTCTGCGCGCGCAGCCGTGGCCTTCTGAAATCTGCCACTGCCCGCCATGCTCGCACTCTTGAGGCTGCCGCTGCCCGTCGCTCTGCCGCTGCCCGTCCTCGCACTCTCCATAACCATCCTCTTGAGGCTGCTACTGCCTGTCGCTCCCGCGCCCACACTCCGGGAGGCGCCACTGCCCGTCCTTCTCGCGCGCACCGCCGTCCTCCTCCGCGTAGGCCTGCATCCACTGCCAACTTCAACCCCACCACGGCTCTACGGCTGTTGGCACACTGACGAGCGGCTTGACCAACTCCCACAACGTATCGCAGGCCACGAGAAGGCTCGGCGCCGGCGTTTAGGCTGTACCCGCAGCTGCGCGCTGTGGGCTGCGCGCTCGCCTCTGCCTTCGCCTCGTCCAGCTGGGCCTGGAGCCGCGCTTGCACCTCTCGCAGGCTCTGGACCTCTCCCTGGAGCTTGCGGGTGGCGTTGTCCGCGCAGAGCCTCGCGCAGCCCCGTCGACCTTCTCTGCCGGCGGCCTCTCCGCCGTGGTGCGCTCCGTTCGCACCGTCCCGCTCCAGGGCGCGCATCCGCATGCGCTGGGGGCTTCCTGTAGGGCGGGCCGCGGCGCCCCGAAATGGCTGCGGCCTCGCAGAGGAGCCAACCTGGAGGAGGAGGAGGAGGAGGAGGAGGAGGAGGAGGAGGAGGAGGAGGAGGCGGAGGAAAAGGAGGAGGAAGAAGAAACGACTGCAACGGCGACGACGACGACCGCGACGACGGTGACCGCGACAACACGGCGGTGGCGGCGGCGGCGACCGCGACGACGGTGACCGCGACCGCAACAACGACGACCGCAGCGGCGGCCGCTGGCGTCCGGGAGCGCCGCCGCGATCAACTCGGCCAACGACCCGCTAGCCAGCGGCGCTGGCGGCAGCTGAACCGCGTCGCCAACGGGGGGCTCCTGGCTCGAAGAAGCGTCGTTGTCGTCGTCGTCGTCGGCGGCGGCGGCGGCAACGGCGCCGTGCTCCACCTCCTTCAAGCCTCCAAGATGCGGGCACCAATGCGAAATGTGGATTCATCCGTAACCAAGAAGGCAAAGATGGCCTCCAAGACGGTCAAGGTGGCCTTCAAGAAGGCCAGTATGGCTCTACGACGGCCCAGGACGGACCAACATTGCTCCAAGACGGCCCAAGATAGCCTCAAGGCGGCCAAACAAAGCCCCGAATACGCATTAAGAGGGGTCCAAGAGGGTGGCTCGGTTTGGTGGTGCGTTGTGTTGCGTGTTGCTTTGCAAAGATCTTCGAGTACCCGCGCAATTGAAATCAATGCGCGCGTACCTTACAATAATAATTCGCGTGTAAACCGCTCGCAGACAGGAATTCGATCGTACAACCGCGCAGTACGATTGTGTTTGTAATGCGCACGATCGGGATCAATACATAGATCCCCACATAAGGGATCCTAGTGTACAGGCTGACAATACGATTTTTTTCACAATCCGCACAAAAATAATCAATTTCCTAAGTCGCTCCCGACGGGCTCCATTTGAAAGGGAGCTGGAACACATTCGGGAGGATTTGCAACACAACTGAACATGGTCTTCTGGTTTTCATGTTTCTTTGTTCTGGCGGGGGGGGGGGGAAGAGCGGGGTGGAGCGGACAAATGCGCCAAACAACGATTTTCCGTCTTTCTTTGGGGGGGGGCTCCCACACTTTTTCCGACCCCCTTTCAACGGAATCAGTGTTGTGGGCGATTCGCGAAATGAATCTGATTCTTATTTGGCCGATTACACATGAAATCCTTCTGTGCAGCTGTACACTTGGATTCTTTGTGTGACCGATTTGCAAGATGCTTGTTGTGCGGATTACACCTGAAATGCTGTCGTGGGACTGTACAACCGGATTAATGTTGTAGGCTGTTTGCATATTGATTTCTAGTGATAGCGATACGAATAAAACATGTTTGCGTGGCTTTACAATCGGCTTTTCTGGGCGACTTCCGCATTTAATCCGCTTGCGTGCGTTACAACTGAGATCTTGTTGTGGACGATTCGCGCAGAGATTTCGGTTGTTCGGGTTGCAACTCGCATCCTGTTTGAGGGGCCGTACAATACATTCCTTTTGTGGGCGATGTGCAGATTGATTCCTATTGTGCGTCTCACAAACAGAAATCCTTTTATGTGGCGTTGCACTACGGTTCCTTCTGTGGTGGATTTATATTTTGAATCCGTTTGTGTGTATTGTAATGGGATTTTTTGTGGGTCTCTGCAATGGGATTCCCCTTGTAGGCGGATTACGCATTGATTTCGATTGTGCGGCTTTCACATGTGGGTGGCAGATGTCAGGACCACACTATGGATCACAAATGCGGTGGGGCTCGTCACAAAAATGATTGTGCCGACCTCTAGCCGCTATTTGTTTCACAAATACGGTGGTGCTCGTCACGTATATTTTCATGCCGACGGGGACCTCTTGCCGCTACTTCGTTTCACAAGTACACGGGTGCTCGTCACGAGTATTCTTCCTACCGTTATGTTGGCTCACAAGTGCGGTGGTGCTCATCACAAGTATCTTTTTGTGCCGACGGGGACCTCTTGCCGCTACTTTGTTCCACAGGTACGGCGGTGTTCGTCGCGGGTATTCTTCCTAACTTAATGCTGGTTCACAGGTACGGTGGTGCGCTCATCACGAATATCTTTGTGCCGACGGGGACCTCTCACCGAAGTTGGTGCTCGTCACAAGTATTCTTGCGCTGGCAAGGACCTCTCACCGCAATGTTGGTTCACGCGTACGGAGGAGCTCATCACAAGTATTTTTGCGCCGACGGGGACCTCTCATTTCAGTTGGTGCTCGTCTCGGGTATTCTTGTCCGCTATGTAGTTTCACAGGTACGGTGGTGCTCTTCACACGTATTTTTGCGCTGGCGGGGACCTCGGACCACGGTCTTGGGTTACGGGTGCGGTGGTGCTGGGCAGTTAATAGCCTTCGATCGGAATTATGGGTTTGAGGTACGGCGGTGCTCGTTGTGGTAGATCATCATGTTAAATCCAATTGCGTGGGTTGCACTTCACATTCCCCAATCAGAGCTTGCCTCTGTAGGGGTCCTAGCGGATTCATATAGTTAGGTAAGGTTTGGCGCCGATTTCGGCGGCACGCCCGGGTGCCCGGGTGTCCAGGTGCCCGGGTGCCCGGAAGCCCTATAGCCCTGTAGCTTTATAGCCTTATAGCCCTATAGGCCTATTGCCCTACAGCCCTGATAGCCTTAATAGCCCCATAGCCCTAAAGCCTATAACCCTAATAGCTCCATAGCCCTATAGCCCTACCTATACGACCGCCCTGCGGGCGACAAGGAGGTTGGGGGGGATTGAGATCAAATGCCCACCTGACAGACCTCCAGCCTGTCACCTTGATCTCATCTCTCTCTTTCTCTCTGTCTCTCTCTCTCTCTGTCTCTCTCTCGC